GGTTGGGGGCTGAGAAGTGATGACAAAGTGGCTTTTCTTGGGGCTACAGAGCTGTCCAGGTCACCATGGACACTCCAGATCTAGACTCTGAGTCAACGCTGTTGAGTCAGTGTTGGCCAACCAGGTGGAGGAGGCTCCTTTGGGATGTGTCTTGGAGATCCTGCTTTTGTGTTGACCCAACCTGATGGACAGCGTTGGCTTCCCCAGGGAGTTCACCACCTCTGCCACCGTGAAGAGGGTATCCCAGAGACCCCACTCTTGGCACCAACCCAACTGGGGATGCAGTATCGGTCTCCCCAAGGCAGTCAGCGTTTGCTCCCCCCCCCATTATCCCGGTCGGCTCACCTTGAGGAACACGTTGGCTCGGCCCACAGCCCCGATCTTGCCGGTGTAGTTGATGAAGCCAGCGTTGCCCTCGGTGGCCCCATAGAACTCCCAGATGGCGATGGGTCCGAAGCGATGGAGGAACTCCTTCCACACCTCTGCCCGCAGGCCGTTGCCCAAGGCCAAGCGCACCCCATGCTCCCGGTCATTGGCGCGCTGTGGGGTGACAAAGGGAGAGACCATCTCAGCGTGCGCCCCGCAGCGTCACCTTCCCCCTGGGGTGGATTTCAGGCTGGTGGCACCTTACCTTGGGTGTGTTGCAGAGGTAGCGCATCAGCTCGCCCACGTACTGGATGACGGAGACGTTGTAGCGGCGGCAGTCGTCCCAGAACTGGGAGGCAGAGAACTTGGACCGTATGACGCAGGTGGCCCCTGTGGGAACATGGTGGGGTGATGGTTCCCCTCTCCTTTTCCCTCTTCCTTTTTCTCCATCCTTCCATCCATGTTGGCATCTGTCTATCCATCCATCCATCTATCCATCCATGTTGGACTCCATCCATCCATCTCTCCATGTTGGCATCCATCCATCCCTCCATCCATTCATCTCTCCATCCATCCACCTCTCCATCCATCCACCCACCCATCTCTTCATCCATCCACCCATCTCTCCATGTTGGCCTCCATC